GGCGGCCCCGCCGCCCGGCAAGGGCAGGAAGGCGAAGCGGGGAGCCGCGGCGGGCAGCGGCCATGCGGCGGCGGCGCTGGCCCGCGTCGGCCACACGGACAGCAGCTCCGACCTCTCCGACTGCCCCTCCGAGCCGCTCTCCGACGAGCAGCGCCTGGCCCCGGCCGCCAGCAGCGACGCCGAGTCCGGCACCGGCTCCAGCGACCGGGAGCGGGAGCCGCACGCCGCTCATCCCGCCGCTCATCCCGCCGCCGAGCAGCCCCGCGCCGGCCACGGCCCCGGCCCCGGGCGCGGAGCTCCGCCGGCCCTCGGCTCCCGCGGGGATGCGCTGCCTGCGGCCACGGGCGGGGGGAGAGCCCCGAGCCGTGGGGAGCCGCCGCCGGCAGCCCCGGAGGAGCTGCAGCGGGAGGTGGAGGAGCTGCGCTCGGAGAACGAGTACCTCAAGGTGAGCATCGCCCGCGGAGCCCGGCCTCGGCGGGGAAAGGAAGGGCGGGAGGCGGCAGCGGTAGAAACGCGACCCCCTCTTGCCCGGGAATGCGGGGACCGCGCTTGGAAGGGGGGGAAGAATATTCGCGCTGCCTGGAGTCACCTCCCATGGGACCCCCGCCCCCGCTGGACCAAATGCCAAATTTTACCCGCAGGAGAGAAATAGGGGCAGGGAGAACCAGCCGGGCACCTCGGCCCCCTCTTTCCCCGCCCCACGAAGCGGGACCGAGGTGCGGCTTAAGGACAGTTAAGGGACTTCAGCGTATGATCGCGGCTCCCTGCAGAGCCCGATTTGTGGGCGCTGGATGAACGTCAGTCCGATGCAACATGTACCGTGGCAATGTTGCGCTTGGTTGACGTGGTGGTAGCTCAGCAAACCCCGACTCTTTCTAAAGCACCGCAAACACTCTACTGGTTAGCAGAACTTTGCTTTCCAGGAACTGTTTTCCTCAGTATCACTCTTTAGGAAAAGCCAAAGGAACAGGTTCCCTCATTTGATGTGGAAAGGATGATAGCATTATGTGCTCTGGTTATTGTGTTACTTTATCACTGGAAAGTGAAGCCACTCGCTGTGAAATACTAATAGAACAACAAGAGCAGCAAGAAATAAGTGTAATTGCATCCTTGTACAGGTAGAAAAGTCTATCAGTATGGATTCATCCTCAGAGAAACAGGAAAGCTAAATTCAGGCGAGCTCTGAGCTGGGTTGACCTGTGGGAACCTTTAGTTGGACTTGTACTTACAATCTGATCTTTTGGCAGAGCAAAGAAGCTACATCCATAAAGATCTATAAATAAGATAAACTGAGATAATCCTGTAACCACAGCCACTGTTTGACTCTGCCTCTGGTGAAAACAATCTTTGTTCCCTGATATTTGGAACTCCCTGTTGTCAAGCAAAATAACCATGGAAATCCATGTAAATCTAGGATTCTTACTCGAATAAGAACTGCAGTTTTGTGTATAACTTTGGGAAACAAGAGTGATAAAGATACAGACTAGGCTCGTTAAGGGATTTTGGCTAAGGTACATGAAACAATATTCAGCATAGCAAAAGGGTAGCAGCAGGGGTGCTGCAAGGTTCTTTGCCAGGTCTGGTGCTGCTTAGTGAACTGGAAAAAGGAATGAGCAATGATACAGCAAAATTTTCAGATGACATTAAGTTTTTCTAGCTTAAGTCAAGTCCAGCAGAGATCAGACAGAACTTAATCATAAAGCTGACCCCTGAGGAACGTGTGAAAAATTAAGGCAGAGGATGGTAAATAAATCTTAATATTAAAAATCTTAAGTACTTGGAGGGAATAAGTATGCACTTTTCTGTATAAGTGTATTGTGTTAACTTGGGAGCATCATGAGAGAAGGAGAAATGAAAATCTGCAAACATTGTTAGATTACAGTGGGAACTGAACAGAGACAAAGAAAATCTGGCAATACTTTATAGAACTGTAGCTGTTACACAGGTCAGTGAGTGTACCTGAAATACTGTGGACACTGCTGGTCATCTAGAAAAGGATAATACAAAACCAGACCAATAAAAATTATTGGCTTGTAGCGAAGCTTTTACAGCACTCATTGGATGGGAAACTAGAGTGTGGTGGGGAAATGTAATAGTCTATAAAAAGATGAGCAGCACAGAGAAGCTTTATCACAAGCTTCTGTTTTATTTGACAGCCTAGAAGCAGGAGGAGATGTAGTGAAATCAGAATTGATAATGGGAATTGCTTAAGGAGTAGCTAACTGGCACTGCCATTAGAAGGCATGAAGTCCAAGAGCATCTTTTGCATTACAGGGTTTGAACAAGTATATGAGTATTATATACTTAAACCCATTACAAAGTGTGTGTCAAGCTCTCTTTCCTTATATTGAAAATGATTTTTAACTATGAGAAACTGGGGGGGGTGGGGGAAAGAGTGAGTTTGAATTGTCTAGGATAGACCCCTGTTAGTGTATCCCACCTGAGGAACCCTGTGATCATGGGACCTAGCTGAAGAACTTTATTCTGCTTCATTCCAAATTTTTCACCCTGTGCAACAATGTCTTCAGATCTTTCACCTTGATTTCTTCATCATCTACAGCCGTTGTTTCCTCGCACTTTTTTGGATTCAGATTGTGACTTTATCATGTTAAAAGTATTTCTGAGTCTGGAAGGATAGTACAGACTGGTTTCTTTGGTGGGCATGTCCTGGTGCCTGGAAAGCCATGAACTAACACCACTGCCTCTTCTTCTGAGGGAAATGAGTACATTGTCTGCTTTGCTTGGCCACCTTGGTTGTACAAGACCTTGGTGTGTGAGGTCTTAGTTCTGCTCCTCTCTCAAAATGGCTGGAAACAGCCCAGTGGTGCAAAAATTATCAGGAGAATTCCCAAACCTTATTCACCTTTCTTTGGAAAACCTTCTAAAAAGTCTGCAAATTAAAACCACATCACTGTCTGGGTTGTTTACTTGTGGGTTTGTTCCATGTGTTTTTACAATGCAGTTCTCTTGGTTGGCGTTGGAGTGAGCTGTGTTTCTCCAGAGGGGGCTAAGGGATAACAGGGATGCTGTCAACTGTAAATAGACAAATGATTAGACAAATCCCAGAAGAAACTGTTAATTTCCTGAGCATGGCCACAAGCCAAATTTTGTGGTTTTCACTCCTCCTTATCCCTCCCTGCAGCTGGAGTGAGGCCCTAAGTGCACATAATAAAGTCTTTTTCAGGGAATTTTATCTTCCACATAGGAAGGTCTTTCATGAGTCTGTAACAGGTTATAGAAGATACACATACACACACACACAGACTTAGTGCTAAAGATTACTAGAGATTAAAATGTTATCAGAAAGAAAAAACCCAAAACAAACCCAATCATTTGTTTTTGTTTCTACGCATGAAGTACTAGAAAATCTCCCAGAATGCAGAGCAAGCTGCTGTTTCTGCAAACATCTCAGACTTCTTATACCCTGAGCCAGACTTTAACTTGGTATCAAGTTTCCACCTTATGTATTTCCAGGACTTTACCCTAGGTAAGAATTTGGCTCTAGCCATAGCTAACGAGCTGCAAAGCTAAGCCTGTAGGTGAAGTGCATGAGGTGAGTGGTTTACATTGAGAAGCCTTTCTTCTACTACTTCTGTGAAGTTTCTTCCTTGATTTCAGTTTCATGTATTCCTTGCATGACCTTATTTCAGCTACCTGTGGGGGAAGACTGTAATACTACAGCAGCATTTTAAAATATATCACTTAGTTGTTGATATCTAAAAAGAGAAAATTTGTCATGGTGCCTGACTCTGCAGGACCAGGAGATCCTTGGTAACTGCTGGTAGTAGATAAAGTTTTAGTTATTGCTCATCAGTCCTGTTAGTAGTAGCAAAACACTGCCCGCACAAATGGTTGATTTTCAAGCTTGCTTTAAAGTGTCCAGCACATGGAGAAGTGTCATTCACCATGTGAGTCCTTGGGAAACTTGGAAAGAAGCCCTTTGTAGTGTAGAGCCCTCTGAAGGGTGAGGAATCTTAAGGAAGAGGGCCCAAATTATTGCAATTAGACATGTTTTTTCTTTGCCTCAGCCCAACTTCAATTTAGACTGTGTTAATTAAATAAATGTGCTAGTAGAAACAGCAGTGGTGTTTTAGTCACAACACACGCCCCTTTTCTCTTTGCACCCTTCATGGCCGTAATGTGAAAGCAGCCTCCTACACGAGGTGTGACACTTCCTACAGCCCTTAAAATAAAACTGGTGCTTTTCTTTACCTGCCCTTCTCTTTGTGCCTGTGTTGGTACAAGTTCAATATGCTGGAAGTGCTGCTGCGGTGTAGATTAGCACAGAAAATATACTATCTTTGATTTATTAGATAACTGTCTTTTTTGTCTTGCTTTGTCTTTTTTTCTTTCTGTATTCATTTGTAAGTGACATATTCTGGGTATAAATTGACTAAGGGACCACTTCAGACCCTGTGTTCCATTCTGATGCATCTAAACTATGTTCATTTTTGTTTAAAATCACAATGTGTGTTGTATGAGGTTACATTGTATTTCTTTACTCACTTGAAACTGTAGCTCTTCGAGTTGCAGCCTTGCGCTGAACTCAGGGGGAGTAATTCCACCACTTATTTTATTAACCTGCAGGGATTTGTGGATGTCAAAGGGTTTTGCAGAGCAAAAATGATGCACAGTGACGGCACCAGCTTTTTTTCCGTTTAGTGAGGGTTGCCAGGGTTAGCAGAATAAAGCTCATCGCACATCCCTGCTTGACGCGCTGCTTTTCCCACCTGGAGAGCGGTGGCCCCGGAGCGAATGGAAGGTGACAGCCCTGCCCGGGGCACAAACCCCAGCTGGCCGGGCTCAGCCGGAGGGACGGTCAGCTGCCCACGAGGATGTCATCTGGGGGAAGAATAGCGAGGCCATGTGCCTTGCTAGCTCCAGCTGAGCCCCTGGCAGCCCCCTCCCTGCCTGGAGGGGATGAGCTCGGTGATGCACCGGGCAATAGTTTGCCTCAGTGGCCGACAAGAAATGCTATCGGTGATGCCATTGATGAGTGCTCCAACTGCTTCATCAGCCCCAGTCAAGGATAGGCGTCGGAACAATACTGTAGCTAATGCTTGAATGAAGCAGAAAAGCTGCCAGATGCTGCCCTCAGATCCTGCAAAGTTAAACCAGCCCTGAAGTCAACAGGTGTTCACGGCCCTATGACTTTCCAGTTCACATCTTGGTTTGTGCACAAGCTTCAGACACGTTGGATTGGTGCATGACTTGTAAAGTAGTCTGATTTGGGAGCTAAATAATAACATCAGGGGCCCAGGGACTTCGGGTTCATTAACATATTTTGCAAGAGGCAAAAATAATTGTTGTTGCTTTCTTCCCAATCAAAGCCTTTCAGAGCATATTTATCCCTGCTGCAGTTCTGCTGTGAAATGCTATGGGGGATGTGTATATTCCTTAGCAGCAGCAGCAGCAGCATCTCCTACATATAGACAGTTTGAGATA